GTTTACAACAGACTCAAAAATGAATGCAACGGCCTAATAAAACAATACCTAGCTTTGAAAAGAAGAACGGAATGTGCAAAAGCTTAGCAGGATCACAAGATATCGTAGGATTTTCGGAGTGCGCCTTGAGAAGGCAGCCACTGCGAGAAAACTACAACAGCAAATATGGCACAATTACAAGCACATGTTAACAACATGAGTCTGAGAATACTTATCTAGCCTTGCCTAAGGGACTGGTAGTGGAAGCAGAATGTTGACGATCGCAAAGGGCTGTGATTACCACCAGTGTCGACATGCGCAGCACTTACCCTATCCCTCAAGTAGAAGTAACTGGTCACGCTGAGTCTTCCAACGTGACAGGTTGATTGTGTCTCATAAGTGGTTATAGGGGTGGGGTGTTTAAATGGGGCTGGGTTAGCTGGGATCCCAAAGCGGAGGCGCATTCATGGGCTCATGAGCCTCTTAACTACCGTATCGAATCGTATTGTAAGTAAAATAGTTTTCCTCACTTCATTTGCATTCTTGATTTTTTTTTCTTTTTTTTTTACTAAGCCATCGAAAAATATTTCGGAGTGGCTTGGGCTAGTTGTGACACTCGACTGTAGCACTCGACATTCTGCGGGGTCTGGCGGTTGAAAGTTCAAGTTGAATTAGGTGCAAGGTTGAATGTTCGGGCAGGGGAGTCAAGAGGCTCTTTTTGCGAATGTCCCGTGCGGAGGTCCCGCGTTCAAATCAAATAAGATAGGCCGACCCCTCTTCAAGATAAGTATTTCTGTAGGAGCTTATCCACTTACTACCTTGTTACTTATTTACGCAACTTGAAATTGTTCCCTCTCGTTCTGCTGCTATCATCGAATTGGATGAACCTACCACGTTCTATTTTATCGAATCTCTTATTGATGCCTGAATGCCTGAAGAAGCCCCCTCTTTAAATTTCTCTCAAGCGAATGCATTTCCAACTCTTCGGAACGACTCTCGAAAAAAATTATTGCTCTTGCTGAATCTCTCGAAATGGAACCGCAGAATCGCACAGGTATGCATGCAGCATTCAGAAGCCATATTGGTCGTTATAGTTTGTCTCTTCGGTTTTCCCTTCTATAGGATATTCACTTTTATTTTATCTCAGCTTTCTCGTGAATGTTGACGTGACCGACAGGAACCATTTCCCAGCGAATGTAATCGATCCTTGTAGAACCCCAAAGGCCCAGTTGAGCCGCTTCACGACTTCTTTTTTCCATGCATGTGGACCCTAAACTTCAAAATAAGCTAATGGGAATGAGGGGCGACCAAGAATTGTTCGTAGCAGACTTACAAACGATTCTTCTAAATATTGGTCCGTGGAGAATGGTCTTTGAATTTCACTGCCGGGAAAACGGAAGAGGTTCCGCGGGAACCTCCGAACAGCCCTGTAGAATACTACAGCATCCCCAACCATGACCAGCCATCACCTCCACTTTGTGGTCTCCATACATAGGCCTACTCGTTAGCCTACACCGTTTTCGGATTCAATTCGTACCCACCCTCCCATGATGGAGGACGGAGAAAATACGAATTCCTGCGGGTCTGCTACTTAAGCCATACTTGGCCGGGGGAGGGATCATCTTGACCCACAACTAATATTTATGTTTTTTATATGCACTAAATTATTTCAGAAAAGGCCATAAAAATACTCCAATTGTTGGTATGCTTGTATGCTGGTATCGATGGCTGGATGGCTGGTTACATAGGTGTATCCGTTTGATGATATTAGAACCGGCAACTCAAAAAAAACGCGAGAATTTAAAAAGATTATCTATAAAAGTGCATCTATGGGGGGGGGGGGGGGGGAAGGGGTTAGGTTACGAATTCTGTCCGAAAACAGAATAAATTTGGCATTGGAAGTTCACATGAAGTTCGATAATCTTTTTTCCCTAGGCCTGCTAAATAAGCCAACCGTGATCGTTGAAGAGCGACGTAACATTAGTCCTATGAATAGACTCAGCAATCCCAGCAACGAGAACGCGGAACGTGAGGCCTATTGAGGAATGAGAGACCCCGCGCGTACGAAATAACTCAGCATCGGCAAGACTTCATGGGATCGATGGAATTCTCCGAGGAATGATGAAGTTTGAGTGAACAGAGAAGAGCTGCCATGATGTCAACCGAGATGGTATTGGCATGCAGCAAACCCATCTCATACAACGCTGTCTCGAATTCAATTTCGTAACTAAGTGCTCAGGGCACGTGCTAAAATTTATTTCATTCGAAAGTGACTTTAGTAACTTTTCTATACTGTCTCAAAGCCCTATAATGCATGAATTTTAAAATATGTGTTGAACATTTTGTTAAATTGGGTGTTTTGCCATTCTTTTGGGTTCAACAGAACAAAATGCAGCACGATAGTCTGGTGTGCCAATAGTATCGTAATTTTACATGTGTTGCAAAAATTGTTGCAATTCTTTGTTGTATTGGCGTGGCCTCATGGCTTGGCAAATACTTCCAAAAGGAAAAAATTTGCAATTTTTATATACAGTATGTGTATGGAGGGCCTGGTATGAGGGGGATATGACCACAGAGAATTATTTTATTACAGGGATGTCAAACTCGATTAGACTGGGGGCCGGATGGAAGCCTTCAGGGGTGATCAGGGGCCACAACAAAAATGTAACACCTTATCTTTAATGCAAACAGGCTGAAATTTGCAGTTCGTTTCCGTAACCAACTGTTGAAGACTTCGCGGGCTGGACAAAGTAGACTGGCGGGCCGGATCCGGTCCGCGGGCCGCCAGTTTGACACCCCTGTTTTATAACATGAGACAGACTTACTAGAATCACTTTTCTGAGCGGGCACGGTGGTCTAGTGGTTTGAATGCTGGGATCTCTATCTGCTATACAAGGTTGTCGCAAGTTCCATCCCGGGTAAAGCCAACCTCTAAATTCGAGCCCATTGTCCTGACCTCTTCAGGATTCCAGAGTGCATCTCTCGGCACCCTCTTGTTATACAATAATTCCCTTTGCTATTTTGAAAAGCGCCAATTCCATTCCTTCATTTAAAAAAAAAAATTGGACCTCAATTCTGCAATCGGGCCTCACGATACCGGTGACGAAAGAAGCAGAAGTACCGGTACGTGAAATACGCAGGGAGCAAAACTTTCAAACCTGAACGAAGTTATTAGTTCTCAAATTCTCTAAAAGTTCTCTCATCAACCATATCATAATAAATCTCTGAAATCATTAGTTCTCATGGAAAGCAGCGAAGCAATTTTGCCCTTTAGCGAAACACACGTGGACTGCTTACTTTTTTGCATTCGCTGTGGTGATTCCTGGACAGCCGGGCAACTTACACCGACCTCTGTCACTCATCTCCGGCACGTGTCCCATTCCGTCAGAACGAACATCAGCAGTTAGCAAGACAGCTTCGCTCCCCAATATTTGTTTCGGTTTTACTTCCTAAGGTTTTCTGGCACGCGGTTCGCTATTAGCCATTTTGGAATAACACATTTATTATCATTATTATTATATAGGCCAATTATATGTTATGCCCTGTATACCTATTTATTATAATATGCTAATTTTTTAGGCCTAAATGCCATCGAACAGGCTGCATCGATTTAGTACGACAGTTGTATAATTATGTACACTGATTTTCTGAATTGTATGGGTGCACACGTTTGTCTGTGTTGATAATACGCATGGTGTTGCATATAATTGCCACATGCTAGAAAACGTTGCTAAATACCTCTAAAAGTTAATTTTAGTGAAGGCACTGCAATATATTGCGAGAACTGCATAAATTACAACACGTTTCAAGACTTTTACTGATTGAACTCCTGAACTTGCATGCAAAATCACGAGTTGCTTCAACTGTATCGCCACATGCGCAAACACCATCCATCCACTGCTTCACCAGACGATTCGAAGTTTGGATAATCACCGCTAGGTGGCAGCGGCTGACTGCGGCGTGCAGAGAGATGTTGCGTGAATGCAACAGTAAGCGTTTTTAGACATCTCCAGCTGATAGTGTGCTCCCAGTGAGATTAAAACCTGATTTCCTGAAGAACTCACTACTGCTCTACACCAGGGGTGTTAAACTCAAATCGGTTGGCTGGTAGCATTCCTTACCCTGCAGATGCCTGGAAGACGCACCCATAATTTTTCACCGAAACCGGTGCTGATAGGCAATCCAAGCGGAAATTTCAAGAACAGGCGGCGGGACGTATGTTTCACACCCTACACGACTCGATTCGTTGACACGAACGCTTTTCACTCGTTATTCATAGACATCACCGGTAGAGTTCGAGCAAGTTATTGCACCTTGCTTGGGGTTCATCATAACGGTTTGTGTTCGTGGGGTGCCTTGTACCGGTGAAACCATTTTATGGGCGGTAAGGGTCGGGTCCTTTTGCTCGGCATATTGCAGAACGAATTCGTCTGCCAGAATTAGTGACACTGATTACAGAGAAGAGAAACTCTGGCACATGCCTTGAATAGAGTTCATGAGCTGCCTGTCGATATCAGTTTCTGCAGATGAAGTTTTTCACAGACCCACTCTCGGCATTATTTGCTTACAGTTTAAATGCATTTCATATCTGCTATTTCAAAGACATTCCCATTTAGTATTCTCCTTTCATACTGTCCATACCCACACAAATATCTACATTATTTTCCCATCTCTGAAGTAGATGGGTTCTCGGATTCTATTTTGTACCGTCTAACCGGAAATAAAATTGGGCGCACGAGAACCCAGAGTAGAGGTAGCAGTCTGCCTTCCTATTCTGAGCTCGAAGGCACTTGAAAGGACGAACTTGGATTTGAGACGATAACGTCTGTGCGAGTGAGGGACTCCTCGCCCCTAGGAGAAAGGCACGCAGATTCCCCACTAACAAAATCACGCATACCAATCTGTAGATAAAAAAAAAAGCCTGGATATCCCTATAGCGGATATCGTATGTGAATAATGCTAACGGTAATAATAACAACATTACATGAATGCATTGATGAATATAGTTTTCTACTAGTATTTCATTGAGATCGACTCTCGATTTCCCTATCTGCAAACAGCTTCTTCCATTCATCATCCCCAGGTCCATCGTAGGAGCCCCCGAGCTCATCCGTAGATACAGGTTGAAAGCGAAGATGGGAAACATCGAAGACGCGGCAGGCGGACTCGTTCACGTACCATTCGTACAAACTGCGGTGCGCGCGAGAACGCGACGGAGAGCGAACTCCATGGAGTTTAGAACAGAGATCGCACACAAGCGGATCGAAGGGAAATCCTAGCTCCACTCGAAAGTCTCTCTTCCACTTCAAATATTCCCCGTAGAGGTCGTCGTTTGCGTCGAGAAGGTGAAGGTAATGAGCCAAATCTTTCGGAGATGGGAAGTCGTCCGCTTTGATGAAAGAGTTCCTCGGTGCGATGGAGTCGTAGTCGGCGGCGCTTGCCATCACGACGGGGACCATGTCGTGCTTGAGGGCGAGGTAGAACTTCTCCGTCGCGTAGTCTCGGCATAGACTGTTCTCGAAGGCCAAAAAGAATTTATAGGTTCTTCCCAATCGTCTGTGACATCGGGAATCCGCGAAGGGGTCCATGAGACGGAGGACGCGACCGCACGATCGAGGACCGCATCTTCCGTATACGTGGACTTCGATGTACCTGCAAGACAAAACCGTGTATCCCATAGAGGATCGTGATGCTTCACGGAACGGATACGTAAGGAAACGAAGACGAGCCCGCTCGAATGGTCTCGACAAAGTAGGGATTTTTCCTTCAGATTTCCTCTTGTGCGATTCCTCCTGGGAGAAATCCCCCTTTTTGGTGCCTATGGCTCGAATGTTGAAACCTCCTTTAGTTAACGGTCCTTAAAGAACTCATACTCCTATGGGGAAAAAGAGCTCTTACGCTTGAAGGCTCCTTCATCTCCCATCTCTCATCAGGCTTGTACATTCGAGACTTAGTTTGTCAAGCACGACGGTAAACGTTTTGTACAACCTTTTTAAGGGTTGTACAAAATTGCATGATAGTTCAGAATTTGTACCACTATGTAAAAAAAATGTACCCATCACTCCCTCGAGCATGAATACTGCATAATACCACCACCTCGGCCGCTAGGATGCAGTGTGAAGGAAGGACTGTAGATGGCGTGGGCTTACAGCGTCGCGTCTCTCTGTCGCACGACACCATTTTGTAGCCAGAGAGCCAGCGGTCAGCCACGGAATTGACGTCACTCAAGATTTTTATCAATGAATTTTGGAATACTTGACAGGAAAAAGACAGTTTAGATTTTGTAGCTAGAGGCTACAAGATTTCGCCCTTTCACAATATTTCTTCTTTTTTTTTTTTACTTATCTGTGCCTTTAATTAATAATTAGATACGCATTTCAATTGTTTTGACAGGAAAACGGGGGAGTCTGCGGTAGACGACAGTGACGAGGATCCTCATTCAGCCCAGCGAGACGGGCTCTCATTAAAACGGTCCTCCTCGTCCTCCTAACCGAACATTAGGATTGCCATCAGGAGAATGCACCAGACTCAAGGACATGGCGTGAAAGCCGGCCTTCATGAGAGAAGGCAGACAAGCCTTAAATATAACTTGCACTGTGTTACAAACACTGTACCACTTCATATAATTAAAAAAAAAAGCTAATTGTAATTTTTATTTATGTGCATTTCATGTATCGTTACTCATTTAAGTACCAGATAGGTCGATTCTGTCGGTAGGAGTTTGAAATGCATATTCTGGGCAAGTAGAGCATTTCTTGTCTAAGAAATTCCGTGCTTGAAGTGTTAAAGCTGCAGGATGAAGCGGCTGCTTCCGTTTTCACATTTAGTCGTGAAGCTTCGATACTGATCGACGCATTCGCATGATTAGAATGGATATGTATCCTCTTTCAAATATTGGAGAAGGAGAAGAAATTGCGAACGCTAGGAAGGCGTTTCTAAGTTCTTAACCTCCTTGCGACATAGGAATACAGATAGTAATGAGGGTGAAGGCGGAGAAAACGTGGAGGACTTTGAAGGAGATGAAGCACCCAGTCATTCCAGCAGGAATTTGTCTAAAAATCCAACATCTGGGGTCGGTTTCTCTGCCTTAGTTCAGTCAGACTTTCGAGCAAAGTCTTTGGGAGCCCGTTTACCATGCTTCCTAAGTCTGACTTAACGGAAAGTCTGATGCAGTGCAACTGACCCCTGGCCTCTTTATACCCCCGCCACTTCCCATACCTCGGGGTCTTAGTAAGGGAAAATTCGCGATTAAGATGAGGACTGAAGAGGAGTTCTCACCTGGCAAGTTGGCCAACATACTCTTCTCTTCGGCTCATGGTATTACAATGCGATGCAATCCAAGCAACCTTCCCCTTCTTGTTCGCAATCGTTCTTTCCAGATCCAATCCTGTGGAGAATCATATTGAAATCTTCATCTTTCCTTGTATCCTGCACACAGCCATTCAGTGAAGATTCTGGCACGAGACTCCGTGTGCAAGTTAAGTTAGAGGAGTGTGTACTCTGTTAGCGTAGGGAGCGCAGTGTACGAGCGCATTGCGAACGAAAGAGAAGTTTTTTGTCGTGAAATTTCCCCCAATAGATGTGAAATTTCATGACATATCACTCCATTCGAAAGAAAGTCTTAGCGCTCGAGAGGCTGAGGGCAGCGCGGACCCATTATTCTATCTACAGTACCATCGCTCTGGACAAATTCCTGCAAGTCTTCATGTGCTGTACTTGCGATCAAAGAAGGTAAAGAGAGTTCTTTAATGATATTCAGCTTGTCGTGATCGCGGCTTTTGGAATTTCAAGCAAGAAAAGGAAAAGACAAGACCGTCTTTGCTCAAAAGAAGATCGTGGGGGGGGGACCTCCAATTTTTAAATAAAAGGTATTAGTTCGCTTCACGTTATGCGATTAAAAATTTCCCGAACTTATTTTTCTTTATGACGCTCTCATGACATTTACCGGCTATTCCCTGCTATCTTCCTCAATGCAGTTCCTTCTGCATGTTTATGTTTATTATAGCGCTCCTGCAACTTTTTGAAGCAACTCCGGTAGTCCTCTTATTTTATGTCCTTTAATTTCGCTGTCGCGTTTGAAATAACGGTCGGAATGTCATCAAATCTCTTCCCATTCAGTTCACTCTTCGATTTTGGGAACAAAAAAAATCGTCCGGTACCAGGTCAGGAAAGTACAGATGATACTAGAGGGCTGGAATGCCATGCTTGGTCAAAAACTGACACACCCGTTGGATTTCCATTCGTCCAGACGCATGGAAATCCATCGTTGTCGTCCAACAGACGTCTGGACGCCTATGAACTGCACACCGCAGGCATTACGAAGCAGTCAGATAGAATGTTTGGTTTACTGTCTGACCATTAGGGACTAACTCGTGATGTACAAGTCCTTCATAATTAAAGAAAGTGTTCAGCATTATCTTCTCTTGGACTTTCGCTGGCGTGCTTCATTCGGTCTCTGTGAACTTGGTGACGACTCAAAAGTTGCGATACTTGATGAAGCACTATCACCATAAGCTGTTCTTAACATCTCATGTGTTTCTGTGGCCATTTTCCCTAATTTGAAACAAAATTTGAGGCGCACTCGTTGCTCATTTCCATCCTGAGACGCGCCACCTACAGTGGTTAAGTTCCTACTGCATACCTTGCCCTGCGAAACTGGAAAAGGATGACGTAATACTACATTTGGTATTACATCAGCCCACTCTAGAGTTGCAATCTGAAGTGAAAGTTGAATGTTCCATCTGAAGACATTTCCGTAAACAAATCAGTCCGGGAACTTTTCATCGCACCATTTATATCACACCATGAACAATCACCATGAGAATAAAGAAACTGCATTTTCATACCTTTTCCCCGACATATCGCATTCAACGAGCCGCAATGACTGCCAGAATAATTTATGGCTGAGGTCCCCACTTATGAGAATGGAAAAGATTGATGGAGAGATTTCAAGCTTGAAAGGCACTCTGCATGGAATGCAGACAATGCCGACACGTTCTCCGTCCCAGCGGCGCGAGCCCAGAGGCCTCCCACGAAACTCTCTGGCCCCAACTTGCTTCTTGCGCAGACGAGTCGATGGGGTGCACCCAAGCGATGGATCGCATCGATCGTACACCGTTAACCACATTTTCAGTTTTAGCTCATTCCGTGAACTCAGCCTGAAAACTATCTATCATATTTTGTGAACGAAAGATTCAGGTACCGATACGAGACAGTCTGACACAAATCCGATAAAACTCCACTATGATATCTGGAAACTGGTAGAGGGGACTGAATCCGCACGAAAAGCTATAAATATCTCCAGGGCCGCCCAAAGTTTTCCAGTGGCTCAGGGCAAAACTAAACCGAAGACTCCTTGGGGGATCCCTTGAGACCTTTTGGAGCCCCCCTTTGGGGGCTGTTGGTGCGCGGGGCCCGGAGGAAATAGTCCCCGATGCCCCCCCTTTGGGAGGCCTTGACTATCCCTACATGAAGCTGTAAATCATGGTCAATGAAGTACATGGTCCACAAGAGTTTGTGTATCCAAAGCGTCGTTAGATGGCAGTGCGTGCGTCAGCTGATCAACGCGTCTGAGTCAGCCTTCAATTCGAAGGTCTTTGTCTTTTCCAAATTACAAATAGCCTTGGTTCAAGTTCGTTATGATCTTTGTCTCATCATTCTTATATGGGCAACTCGAAGCGTCCTTTGTGACCATGGCTAAGACGAAAGCAGGGTGGTTGTGAAATGCATGACCACGGGTTTCTATGTAATGCTACATCATCTCACGGAAGCAAACCTAAAATTGTTGCTATGAAATGGCGATATTTTCAATATGACTGCTCCTGAAGTGGTACAAGGTCAAAACCGGTCTCCTGTAATCGCAACCCATTTCAACATGGCCTATCGTCAGGTGCATGCGTGTCAAACGAGATAGAACCAGTATCATAATGACTGCGTCATCGATTCCTATCTATCGTGTCGACTTCAGAATGTTGTGATATGAGATGCGAAGCATCTTGTGAGCTGGACTCGCATCTCCACGGGCTGACGTGAATGCCTCTGGAAATAGGCATACCACAGGAAAAGGAACGCTCACGACATTAGGGAAAAGGGAATCCTTCCATAGAGCCTGCGCTTGAAAATCAACGTTGGACGTGGAGAGGGCGGAGTGGCTTGCGAGCAAACGATTCCAGCGAACAGCAAACAAAAAGAAAGGAAAGAATTTACAGCATCGACTTTTCTCAATGCGAATACGAAGGCTGAAAATACAAAATTTTCCCATGTTACCGAATGGAAACTCGACGTGAATGATGCTCACCTCGTGTAATTTCAATGTCTAACACCTTTGTGCCTACCTAGATGAGTCGGGAGCCCCCCTCGTCCAACGTCAAAACAGACCAAGAGGGAATCGTGGATGAAACCATAAGAAAGATACTTTATTTCGAAAGGAAGAAAAGCAATTGCGAAAAACAGCCGTCTCATCACTACCGTCTACCATTCAATGCAAGTGAGTGCATGGATCAGCCAAGGAGAACTTCTCCCACGAGTACCATCAACGTTTTTATCAAGCACTTTCAGGAATCAATGATGGATTGGGATTTCAAATTTAAATGTATACATTTTTAAAATACGCTTCTTCCTCTTAACTTTACCACTTTATTCCCCAAACTTGAAGCATTCTTGAAACGTAAGATTCCACTGGTGACTCGGTGGAGGCGAGGCGAAGCCGGGAACCTAACATTTTTACAGGCAAAATTTGAAGTTTATTTTGAAATTATGCATGCGTTTCTGCGCTACCTTTCGCGCATTATTTCTTCGCTCACTCGTTAGCAAGTCACGCGATTGGATTATTTGCGACACACAAGTCCGTTTCAGGACTTGTGGGTCGCAAGAATATTGGAATCGGGCTCGGTGGGTCCAAGTATAAAAAAGGTTGAGGACCACTGAGATTTGACAGGGTCTTTCTTTAAACTCCTCCCCGTTCAAACAATACTGAGCCTATTTTTGTTTTCAAATTAAGGTTGTCTCATCGACCCCAGATGGGTCTGGCTCGTAAACAGGAATCTCGTCCACGCTGGACGAGTTTTGTTTCAAAGGACAAAACGTAGAAAATACAATAGAGTGAAAGAGAATAGAACGTTGGAGTGAAAGTCGAATGTTTTTCGTTGCATCATCCAGAACACCAAGAGCCGTATCTCGAAGATCTCTCTGCCGAATTAAAAAGATAGTGAAACTCTTTTGTATGTTGCGATCGGAAGATTCACTTACGAGATGAGATTGAGGAAAGCGTCCGTCCACTTTCCACACTTTTCAGGATCACTCGTTCCTTCCAACGAGATACCATTTTGAAAGGGTGGGAGTTTCCATGGGCGAATTCGTGGAAATGGTCGATTTGTTAAAATCCGTCTCATCCTATGATAAGAAGGCGCAGGAAAGGTGGACTGCATAAACGATCCTCTGCTCGAGCAAGGCAACGGATTCGAGTATCCTGGCAAAACCAGAATACTCGAATACGAGCTATGGAAGTTTTATCATCCCGACTAGTAAACTAAAGCCTAAAATCACCCGATTCATGGAAACAGACAATCGACGAGTATTTACTTTTAACTCTCATATGAATTAGAACAACAGATTAATCCACGTTTTAGCCATTCCCTCACTGGATTTCGAAAGACGATGGAATCCCAGGGTCGCACGAGAAGAGTTAGGAATTTCTTATATTTTCTGACATTTGCTGACATTATCAGCTGACATTTACAGTGTGTCCCTGCAGTTTACGTTTCACGGTGCCAGCTATTGTAAAAATATATTGCCTATCTACACGCACTACATGAAGATCTGGACGGTCTGCCCTGGCCAAAAAAAAATTACTGCTGAGGCAGAACGGAGCCCCACGCCACACGGCTGGCTTCGCATTCCGCGCCGTCGAAGTGACCGAGGTTCAAGTATGAAATGAATCGATCGAGGAACTGTCCGGACCTCAACATCCCGAACACCTGCGGCGCTGATTCCAGCTGTGTTCTGCGTCAGCCCCAACCCAAAAATCGGAAGTCGGTCATTGCCGGGGTTCTAAGTGGAGTGAGAAATCAAGACGATGAATGACACCCGTGGATTCGTCGAGAGCTTCGGGACGGTGATCCGAGGTTCCTGGAGGCCGACCGAAAGCATACCAGGTATCGATGCAGAAGTTGCTTCCTGGTGTTTTCCTGGTGATGTGGAATGTAGACAAGTCAATATAGTCCTGTTAGTCTCCTCTCGATCTTTATATCAGTCGGTGAAAAACTTTCGAAACACCTTGTATATGCACACACGGCTTCACGAACATCCACGACTTGAATGTAACCACCCGAGTCCTTCCAGATTCCGCACGATTCTACATCTCTTCGTCGACATTTTAATATTCCGACTGGCATCGATCCGACATCGAGCACCATCGAGATGATATGTCATCGTATTTTTTGCCATGCAATACGACTGGTTTTGGACATGTATGCATCGGACGTCCCTCCGGAATTACCGGACCGTAAAGGGCGTAACGTGGTAAACTCAGAGGCTTTGGAGGAGGAACGACGTCTACTGATTCTGGAGTCCTTGCATAAGCACGGACTCGAGTTCTGAGCCTGGCAATTTCTAAGGGAAATTTTGTCTTACGATTCTTACTATAAGGCACGATAGTGCCTTATAGTAAGAATGCCTTGAGAGCTGAGGCGAGTGCATGTGGTAAAAACCTCATTTTAAAATCGATAGTGGAGGTGAGTGACGGTAACTAGTCGATAAAATTAATCATCTCTTTTGTATGTGGTGTGGGTTTGCCCAGCTTTCCAGCTTCGATATCTGCACTTCATCAATTAATGAGAAAAAAATACCGTGATCTCTCTTCGGCGTTGGAAGAAAAGAGCCGTAAGGGGAGAAAACGTGGGAGTCTCTTCTATAGCTGAAAGTCCAGTTGAAGACTCTGTCCATCTGCTGCCAATCCGCCGCCCAGATCCCTGTCAACACCCAAGTCGTCCGTCAAAATCCGCCATGGAATGCGGTCTCAGTTCGTAAGGAAAGAAAAACTGTTTTTTGTTCTTGAGCACTGAAAAAATGAAGAAACTAAGAGAAATATAAGAATCTGCTACGTACCACGAGGTGGTGCAGGATCTTTTCGCGAGATCGACAGCGAAGAACTCGATTCGACCCTTTTGATTGGCATCTCGCCGTCTGACGGCATGGTGGTTCGAGAAACCACCATGAATGTTATCAATGTTGCACTCGAGGGGGAACAAATTTTACAGCTCACTCTCGATTTGATTAAGATGAACATTTTCGAATGGTGCACTTCGGGGGTTGGACTATCCAAAATGTTAACAGGCAACACCGATTCCTGTCGCGCTGTTTCGCTTCATCGAATCGAAGTCGAATGACCTATTTTAACGGTTGATACCATCGAATTACAGTCCATTTGCAGCACTTTCGATTGCAACGGATGGACACACAAGTGACGTTTCGTGCACTCTGAAAAACTGTATGAGGAATTCGGTACCCAATGATCGTTGCTTGCCGGTCACCAATCGATCGTGAGTCGGAATTTCTCAGCCGCGTGCATGCGATGTGCGCCTGGGTTTTCATCCTGACTTTGGCATTGTTTCCCTTCTCATTAAATCGGGGAGAAAACGGATGTCGAGAATGGGGATGATGTCGATTGAGTCCGGAGAAACATCTTCGCTTTTCCGATCCGCTTCTTGCGTATGACTCCAGAAGTACCGTAAAGGTACTTCGGATTTGATTTTCGGTGGGGAAACTCCGAGGTTTCACCCCTACGGCCTGCCTGCTATAGCCTGCTACTGCTTCAACTATTCCAGTCTCGATCATTGTCGTACTGTGAGGAAACAAGATTAAAAAAAAAAAACCTGATTTCTTCTTGCATTGACTATGCGGAATCCCCTCGGTCTGGTACATCTAGTCTTAATGCATTATGCCCCCATGGATTTTCCTCTCTTATATTTTAATTTATTCATAGGCTGGTCTATGGCAAATGGTTTGTAAAACGGAAGCACGAGCAGGTCGAAAGGTATTTTGGTGGTCGTCAGTCGTTGGATGGCCCTGCATCCCCCCAAAATCCTACCGTTCCTTTTCGGCTGGCTAATTTATGAAAATTCTCTCTCGAAAACTTTCCTTTAGGTGCCTAAGTAAGTTTTACTTGCATTCGCGATGCAGCGACGAGCACCTTAAAGAAACAGGACAGGACAGGGCGGGGGAAGTTGGGGGGGGGGAACGCATTCGACATACTAGAGTGATAAGGGGCCTCGAGAAGCAAGAGAATCCACGTCTGGTCGGGACGGCTCCTTTTCGGCAGGTCAAGGCCTCCATCCACGGAGAATATCTCCTCCAAGTTGAAAAGAACGGCATCGCTGGATGCCACGGAGTCCCGGTCGTGCGTGAAGTCGCACCTGGATTCCTCGCATCGGGCATCCGTTATCCTGCAGTCAAACGAGTTCTTAATAAAAAAAAACCACGAAAGAAGAAACAAGTTGCTTGACGTCGACGATGCGAACGGAATCGCGCGAGGAAGCCGGTAACAGACAGAATGACCCAACGGCGGAAAATTCCCGACTCTCAATACCAGACTTTCCTTCACGCTCACAAAATATCCCACGCTAATACCTCCCTAGGCAGATTATTCCACCGACAAAATGCCCTTCGTAACCGGCTGGTTTCTTATCTTTCTGGTGCAACTCTGTCACATTTCAAACAGTTACTTCTTCAGTGTGTCCGTATGGAATGGAGAACGTGCCATCTCAGAAGGGAAGAGACAAATTGATCGTGAACTCCTTTCACCATTACGTACAAATCTTCACTTTCCCCAGAAATAATTATTCAGGAGAAACAGCTTGGCGGTCCGATATGATTCGATGTCCGTGTCCGAAGTAACCAATGGTCAAATTTTAAAGATTGGTGAGCGTTGTCATGTTCCTGACCCAACCAAAGTTCACATGAAACTGAAGTCAACGTAGAAAGCTATTGTGTCCGGCTACCACAATCGACCGACTGAAGATTCCTTCGGGGCATCGCACTCAACCTTTGCGAACTCGTACGAATCTCGTTAATGATCTCATGACTTCAATGCCCGGCCCTTCTCCATGAATCATCGACATTTAACGTCCTTTTTTTTCATTCTATGTGACGTAATTTTTCATTACTTTTGATTGGGGCCTGACATTGAGAAATGATACTCATGCGAGGAAAAGTTCATCACCGTTTGAGTCAACTTTGAACTGTCCCCAAATTAAAAGTCATGTTCTCATAAGTCGTTAGGATGTTTTGAATTGAATTTTTTTTGTCGGTAGGATATTATGTCGGGTTTTTTCCGTCTGGGATTATTTGTCGTGGAATATTCCGTCGCCCGGAATGGGATGGGGTCGGAGTGGCTCGCAGACCGGTATGTATTTACCCCTCTGTGCCGTTTTTTACGGTGTTAATGAGGATGGTGGTGAAGATCGCACTTAACTCGGTGCAGACGGGAAAATTACCGTACCGATCGATCCACGGTGTGTATTAACGAAAAAGTACGACATTCTCATTCTCCATTTAAGTGAACGTTATCTCCCCGTTTCCCAATCCCCAATCATTAACCAATCCAAGCAAGATCAATAAAAGTGCATTTCTGGCCGGAAAGGCACCGGAAAGCGAACTCGACCTGTATCTCGCTCTTTTGTGTCCGAATATGGATTTCCACCTCAATCAAGGCGATGTTTCCCAAGTTATCTCTAAACGACGACAGAGACGGATCGATGGAACTATTAGGTAAAAATAGTGTAAGTGGTCCTTTTCCTTCATGGAAAGGAGACTCGAGGAAATCACGGGACCAGAAAAAATTATCGACTTCGAGAGGTCCTCAATGTGTTCTGGCCGAATTAGCCAATTCTGGTCAATTAGCAAGAACCGCGCCAAGTCGTATCTTCGCTCACAGTTGCATCTCACCCCGTGATTATTCGTCGAGGAGATGGGTGCGATGACCCTCGAGTCCATCGTTATCTGTCCAAGCCTCGACGGCATCTCTTCGTTCCTTCTAAAACTTGTTAGCCTCGAGGATTTGGATTCGGAAAGAGAGACCTCCGGCTCGGATGGAAGCGAATGAACCGGCAGTTGCGGAGCTTCTCCTTAACGACCCTGACAACAAGAAGACCTTCAATTCCCTTCCCCCTTCCCACGAGAGAGACATGTTGTGTCTGCTGGAAAGGAAGGGGAGGGGGGGGGGGGGGGGGGGTTGCAACGGGAACGGAGGCCGCGTGTTATGTTGTGTCTGCTGGAAAGGGGGGGGGGGGGGGGGGGGGGGGGGGGTAGTCTGCAACGTGAACGGAGTCCTCGTGTTTACCCCCTTTTATTTTCAGGTCGGTCGCTCTGGAGGCCAGGAATAAAATCCCTCCGTCCTTAGGGATGGGTTCGACGGGGTCGAGACCGTGAAGAACATATACATACACTGGGGCAAACACATACACCGGAACAAACATATACACCACATTCGCACAAAAATAGCTGTAATTAATGGGATGGTTATTGAAGTAAGCCACTTAATTCCATGGTCACTCTTGAGAAATATCTACTTCACACTAATCCATCCTCATATAATTTACTGCATATCAAAATGGGGTAAAACATATCAAAAGTATTTGCAAGATATAGAAGTGCTCCAAAAAGGGAACCATTTAGATTATGAGCTTTGCGGGCTATACGAGGGGGATGCAAAAAGTTCTGCCACTCAACTTGTAAATTTCAAATGACTTTATTAATTAAAACAATTATATATTTAATCCTTCGAAGCACTCCCCCCCAGCATCTATACATCGCTGCCGCCTCACCAGCCAATTCTGGAGAGCCTTACGGTACTCACACGCAGGGATAGATTTTAGGGCTGAATTCACTGATTGAGCAAGGTCCTGAACCCGAGTACTACATTTGTTTACTTTTGAATGAATACGAGAGGTTCTTCAAGGGCCTTATCTACACAACAAAGCCTATTCTTTCCAATGGTGGTGGCGTTTCAATTGTTAACATTCTTGTTTACAAACAGCATGATGATTTGCAAAACTTTTTGAACCACCCTCGTACTCGGCCTCATATTCCGCCCTAAAATCTATCCCTGCATGTGAATACCATGGGGCTCTCCAGAATTGGCTGGTGAGGCGGCAGCGATGCATAGATGCTGGGGGGGGAGTACTTTGAAGGATTAAATATATAATTGCTTTAATTAATAAAGTCATTTGAAATTTACAAGTTGAGTTGCAGAACTTTTTGAACCCCCTCGTAGAGACCATACTAAAGATCTTTTTCTTTTTTTAATGAAAATAATCTAATACAGAAACCAGCTTCTTCCATTGTTAGCTTATTAGACTGACGGGATCCCCATGAAAAGAAAAATAAATCAAACAATCGATATTTTTATTGTATCCCAACCCGGTCATCCAGGGCGAACCCAATTGAGTTCAGTGGATGGCCTTATTGCTCATTATTTGCATTCGCATTATATTCCTATTTCTTTTAATTTCTTTTCTCTGTTCCTTTTTTAATGTATTGTCTTCCATTTTTGTCTTTGTTTTTACCCTCGTCTTTTATCCTTACTTGCAAATATGTGGAAATACATTCTATACTATTCTATAGGAAGAGACGGAGGTCCACGTTGTGAAACGTCGTTTGGACCTCAGTACGAAAATTCGGTCATGGAAGTGTGAACCTTCATGCCGCCTTCACAGTGGGAGAGGGTGGGGGGGGGGGGGTTACCCGGTTAACGATCGGCCATTGGGTTGTTATATATAAACCAATCGGCTTTATTTGGTCATAACTGTTGAAGGGACAGTCGGATGAAGCATTTTTCCGACGGAGAAGTGCATGGGTCGAAAAGGTTTTTTCCATGACTGTGAATGGTAATGAAAGTCGATAGGGGACGGTATAATTGTACGTGCAAAGAGATAAACATTGACAAGGGGATATAAATTGAGAATTGCTCTATTGCTCGACTACGAAAATGCCAAAGTACGAAGCAACGTATCACATTAACTCTATCGGATGGGAAATCTATAATCGTGATTATTCCCAATTAGGCTGTCCTGAAGGATGCCATAAAACATGAGAATGGCCGGGATCCCAGAGACTGCATTCCGTGCTGCATCCACCCTGAGCGCAGGTTGCGTACAGTATTGGAAATGGATGGCACTCATGGCACTCGTATTAACACTTGCCACTCCTTCCTAATCGTGGTTATCAGTTGTACCCCTTCTTCAATGCATTTACGATTACAACGCTACCTATTCACATTCACCGCCGTCTGGAGGACATGGGAAAAAAAAAACTTTTAGGCCCATGAAGCAAACATGAGCTGCATCCGATGGTCCCTTCAAAATGTATAACCAAAGTTGTGTGGTTTATTCATAACAGCCCTGTAATCTAATCCAGAAGGCACCGCATATTTGAAAATAAATACTAGTCAATGCGAAGCACACAGTCACTGTTCATCGAAGATAGAAGCACACAGACAGAAGTCGTGACGGAAAAGTGTGTTCGTAAGCGAGGCCAGCGCGGTTTCAGACTCAATACGAATCTGGCTCCGCTCTTCAAAACGGAAAATGTGAGAGAGAACAGAAAAATATCCAAGATAAGAGTCTAAATCTTCTCCGGAGTCCATCGTCGAGCTTTTCCAAGGGACTGTTTCGGTGTAGAAGTACTCTTCCTCGACGAAGCTGCTTCCGAATTAAATGAAGCCTTGCAGCCATGGTCGAGTTAACATGGAGATCGGTAAGTCACAAGTGGCAGAAAGAATGCACATGCTTGGCTCGGGGCATGTTATCGAGAATGCACGCAGGTGGGCAGAGATTCCTTAGCCCTCAGAGAGGTTCAAGTCGAGATTGAGAGACTTCCAAAGGTGTCTTTTTTTTTCTTTTTCATTTTAAGTCGAAATAAAGTCGAAATAGAGCTAAGATAGAGTTGAGAATCTTTATGAGAAATGATTAAATAAAATGTATTGTCAAAGTAAAGTTCGAGTCTCGTTTAAGCAGGAATATAGCCAAAATAAGTTTAACGAAAAGTTAAAGAAGTTTTGTGAAAAAGGCCCCAGGAACCCATACTCAGGATATATATTTACGCGCGCACGCACGCACATCAACACACACACACACACACACGGTCTCTCTCTCTCTCTCTCTCTTCCTCTCTCTCATCCATTCACTAACATACACACCTACCCACAACTCGCACAAAATACATATCACAGACATTCGCTATTTAAGTGTATCCAAGCCCACAGCCTTTCAGCTTCTTTCCATATCTTTCGAAACTCACAACAAACTAACCTTGAGAAAAATCGATGCCACAGCTCGGTGGAGGCTTCGTAGCTGGTATCCGATCTCCAGACATTCCATATCAATATTTTTTTCCTTGGAGACAGGGCACCTCGTTGGCTCCGGTTCCTGCACGAAAATCAGCAAACTTTCGGGTTCCATCGTTCCTCGAGGGAACCACTGCTTCGTAGAGAAACCGCTCACAATCATTGTTATTTCATTTTGCACAGAATGGGACACGATTTTGACAAGTACGTTAGCGATATCGACTGGGATGTTCAGACGGTGACAAATAGTTTCATCCTACGAGAAGCTGAATTGCAGCAGGTTTAATTCATGCATCCCTGTTGCAGTACGAGTCTATAGACCCGCGGATTCCACCCGTACATCCGTCTCATCGGCTTCTGTGCATGAGAGGTCCTAGCCTCTGAAATGCACATTAGGATATCCATCGAGGCGTGCTTAAGCTCTGGATTCCACCCAGAAACGTAGCCCCAACCCTCAGATTTCGTTTCGGAACAAAGACGTGACTTGAATATGATTCCGATAGCATGGGGAGATGAGGCCCGATGGAGAAGTTTTCAAGGCGTCCGATGGGTAGACTACTATAGTGTAGACATAGTGTCGCGAGTGACGAGGTTCTACTAACAGAAATTCGGAATAGTGCAGCAACGTCCAGAATAGTTTGAAGACGTCTCGTGATCGTGGATTTCGCCTCCTCCCTTTCTGCAACGACGATGCAAACCTAATTAGGAAATCCACAGCTGATGAATGGTGGGGTAAGTTCCAAGGGAATTTCACAGTTGTTGCTGTTATTCCCCATTCTCGTGGACTTAGCACCATCATAAAATGATTTCAGGTCTCACAGGTGCCGCGTTAGCTGAATTTTTGGATGAACTTACCATCATCGTACCAGACAATGAGTTCATTTTGGTATTGGGCGATGCTTGAACGCTCAGAAGGATGATTCCTCCATACCCAAGCCATTCCGTTCATTTCCTTTCCTAACAGAACCTGGTTAAATAATCGAGTTCAATTCCTCCCCATTGAAAGAAAAAGAGGTCGACCAATCCGTTTAAGACCTCCGATGCTAGCCCGTTATCGGTAATTGCAGAAGGAATGACTCTGAGATATGGAGGCCAATCGAAAAACATCTGCAGAGTCAATACGCGTACCCATATGTCCTTCGCAGAAAATGAATACGAGCCCTCATTTCTGTGTCAACGAGGCGCCTGTCAGAAATCCCTTTCACGAATGAAGCATTTTACTTTTCAGTCTCCTGCTGCCTGGATTTTCCTTTGCCCGCGGGGTCTCATGTGGTCTCGTTGTGTCTCTTCGTTTCTTTGTCTGGACTCATGGGAGGTGAAACTCAGACACAACGGCCGACATTCGCGTCCCCTCATCCCATCCTCCCTTGTTTGAACCCCTGCCTCGTTCCTTTGGGCGTGCGGGTTGCCTCGTGACAGGTGTGCCTGAGAGTCACCATAGAAAAGTATAATACATACTATCGGGTTGCAAGTTTAACGTCCTATTTTCGTTTGTCCTGCGGGTTTCCCCGAAAGCTCGCTTCACACACTGGTTTTTAAACTTGGAGCAATCGGTGAAAAGAATTGGGGAAAATTCTAGACCGATCGCTGTGTTCGAACAACCAACTTCTTTGTGAATCTCGCATTTAAAAAATCCAGTCGGAGCAAGTTGAAGAAACGAAACTATGACAGTAACCAGAAAAAATCTATGACTTTTTGATGACTGGACAGATCCATGCGACCCGTGCCTTTCCAGCTCAGAGCCGCAGAAAGGATCTCATAATTTCGAGTTGAAAATGTAAAATGTGCTATTCTACGGTCTTGCCTCCCATTCGTCGCAAAAGAGCATGGAAAAGCAAAACCAAGAAGAAAATTTTTTTTCTATCAGCACCTACCTGAGGCAGAAAATTAGAGTTCCGAGAAGCAGAAGGGTTAGGAAGAGGTACTTGCGGCTGTTTCTGGAGGGAAGGAGCATGATGCAATGATTCCATGTTGGCAGGAAGTCTCGGCCCAAGCCAACGTCCCATCTCGTTCCTGACTTCTCGTTTGCACAAGTGGGGACCCCGGGAGCCACGAACGATATGTAGACGCCTATAGTATGGACTCTCATCTCCGCGAGATACGTACGAAAGAAGCAAGGGTAAACGCAAACAGTACGCTGATTGGATCGTTCGCAGGACAGACGATATCGAGGCGTGGAGTTGACGTGAGGCAGAGGAAAGGAAGGAAGTGAATCCTGGAACGGAGCTGCGCCATTACAGCCTACGTACTGTCTCGAGGCTTCCGGGTTATGACTACATTTTAGTAATTCATTCACGAGGAAGAGGATCACGAAGCTGCAAGAAGAGGAAAGTTCTGCTCGCGTGGAGAGAGCTCCTAAATGTATCCATTGCCTCAAGTTTTGGAGCAAATGCATATGCAGATGCATGGTTTCATCTTGGAAGTAGTAGCTGACGGAACCTGCTGAGTACAAAAAGCAACTATCAAGAAAAAGAGAAAGGTAGAAGTTTTTTTTTTTTCAGTTCTGCTGCTTTGATACAGCCCGGGTATATTTAGTCTACTTAGGGCGCTGCGTTTTCCGACCTGCTCGATATATGATGGTTGCTTAAACTTTTGCGAGGCAGGCGGCACCATCTCCTCGACGACCTTCGCCTGACCTACCAGGTTAAGAAAAATGGAGAACTTCCACGGTCTCTTTCTTTTTTTGGCGTTCCCATACAGCTTAGCTCAGCGACGGGAGACGTTATTTTCCTCGGGGCTGAGAGGCTGCTGGCTAAGTGTCAGCCTGGGAATGGGGCCTCAGGACTACACCGAAGGGGGATGGGGGGTATACATAATAGGAGATTATGGGAGATCGTACCAGCCGCTGTCGGGGTGATGAGGGGGAAACTCGGCACAGAAAACGAGGTCGATGGAAGACAATAGAGGAAGCCGGGTCTTTTCGGTGGAGGGCTCGTTGAGTCCCTTTTCCGCATCTATTCCCGGACACGCGCCTCGGGGAAGCGATTATTTTGTTGTTGATTTAGTGGGGTCGATCGCTAAAATAGCTCTTTTCGGCGGAAGGTATACTGAGGTTTGCTTCCTGGGCGGAGCCAGTCGCCAGAAGGAGTTTTCCCATTTTGCCCCCTGGAGTTAATCTCTGCTTTGTTTCAACAAGTGTCTTGAATGGGGTGCATCTCGAGCGAGCACACTCAAATCCCCCGATGTGGAGCGCCAGGCTTCTTGATCGCGGTTGTGAATCAACCAATCCGTCGCTCTACCGTTCTGATCTTCTACTTTCGGTGTCATACCGGTCGAAAACCGTGATGTGTGATAGGCTGGGAAGTCCGTCGCCTAGGAACGAATTTCCTCCTCCCGGACGAGAGCTAACGCAATACAGTGTTAATCGCGTCATCCTTTCGAATTCACAGAAAGTGAGGGCTACGCTGTAGGGATATGTGGTACAAACGCACAATCGACGAACGCCAGCTGCATTGCGCAGCTGGCCTTCAAACTCTCAAGGGGTAACCGGACGGGTGATACATTAAACAAGGAGACATCACATGTGATATGGATCTACTATACCACTGCCCTGCTCACCCTGACTTCTATCCCGTTCAAAGCAGGAAGTAGACGCCATCGAATATCATTCTCATCAACAAGGGACCACGTGCTGCCCTTTGTTTATGTCAGTGCGAAGATGCTCAATGGTGACCTACATCTCTTCATAGTCCTGTTGCTTGCTCTACGTCCTCCTTCGATGCATGTTTATCAAGCACATGTAAGCTAGTATATCGGGCCTAAAGTCATAGATTTAAGAAATTTAACGTTAGCCTGCAGAACCCTACAAAGCCCCACCTATACCCCCCATACCAAACTCTGAGTAGGCCGTCGCTCTAGGGTACAGTTCGTTATGTCACTTCTCACCACTTCGTATGAACCTCATCTTTGTATGGACAACATTACTAGTGTTCTGCCTTGCAGCCGCCCTTGGATACGGTGATTGGGAAATGAATTCGTATCACCTTTGGTCCATAGGCGTAATGTGATTCTATCTTTGGAGATATACTCTCTCTTGTGTGGGTGCATCATTGAACTAACAGGTCCGACAATAAGTTCTTGACCTCACCCACAAACCAAGCATGCACGGATGTTATTTTGCAGTCAATCTTCGATCTAATGACCATCACGCTTGATGAGACGCTCCAAATGATCATGCAACATTCCAATACTGGAGTTGTAAGTTAGACTATTATTTTTTGTTGTCAAAACTTCTTGCATGGCTGACTTGTATTAATTGTACAGTCCACCAATGGCTCTGACTGACTATTGTCTGTTTGCGAATCTGGAAAAAGACCTTTGAGGAAGGTATTTTAGCAATGATAATGAGCTGAAGTCAGTTGTGCAAGAATGGTTCAACAGCAAAGAAGAATCTTTTATTATTCAGGTATTAAAATGTTGCATGATCATTGGGAGCATGTCATGGAGTGTGATGGTCATTATGTTGCAGATTGAGAGTAGAATAAAATTTGTGTGTGCTCAGTTTCTGGGTGAGGCTAAGTACGTATTGATGGACCTGGTAATACAGTAGAATGAAGTTCAGTTGGTTTCACCATGAAGTTTGTCTCTGTATCAGTACTTAAGTCTAAAAAGGTTTTATACATCAGTTTTTATATTTGACACTAATGATTATTAATTTACTTCCAGAATGCCAAAAATATTCATTGGGAAAGTCGTGGAAGACTACAGGAAGAGAGCACTCCATTTTGCATTCACTTTCAAAGATGTTCTTTATAAGTTACTTGTGGTTTTATTGACCACAACTGTCCTTATATGGCTCTCAGTGTTTCTCTATGGTGTTTTCTACTATCTCTACATGCCAGCAGTTGCACATACGCGACCAGTGCACTTCATTTTTGAGTGAGTTGTACATTCTTCCTCTGAAAATCCTTACTTCAGCCCTATAATAACTATCGAAGAATGTCAGTATCAGACCTCTTACCTGCAAGGAATGATCTGGGCCACTCAAATCTACTCTCTTTTTCATAGCAGTAAGAAATTTAACTGTGATCATGCTGTAGATTTTGTTCACAGTGGGGAGTTTATCTCACACAGTCTCATATGTTTACTGCCCCAACTTAAAAATCCTAGCTGAAAGCAGTTATAATTTCCAGCTGGACAACAGCTGTGCAGGGAGATAAATAATTTATGTTCCCAATTTCAAAAGTTAGTAGTTTTCAAGCAAGCACTACTTAGATTAGCTATTGTATATTATCTGAGTGCTGAAGGTCCTTACAGTTATTTTTTGCCTAGGTTTCAATGTAAGATTCATGCCACAAGGTTTGACAGAACAACAAAGTGTGGTGTGGCTTTGTGTGGTTTTGCACAAGCCCTGCTTGTGCAAAGCCACACTGTCCTGTACAAACCAAAAAAATGAAAAAATGAGAAAATCACAGGATAAGGAAGGGCATGCAGAGCTGGTCTCTACATTATATTTGTGTTAGAACTTAAATTGTTTTAAGCTTAGTTTTTTTCTCTTAGATGAATGTGGATTGGAATGTTCAAAATTTTGAAATTATATAGAAAAAAGTAAAAAGTAGAAGCCTTTATTGCCAAATGGGCAGAGTAAAGTGCATATAAAAATGGCAAGCAGTCAAGTGACTGCCTTAGTAGTTCTAGTGTTAATTCTACTGTGGCTAGGGATCTTACAGCCGGGGGGGGGGGGGGGGGGGGGGGGGGGGGTTAACACTAGAACTACTAAGGCAGTCACTTGACTGCTTGCCATTTTTATATGCACTTTACTCTGCCCATTTGGCAATAAAGGCTTCTACTTTTTACTTTTTTCTATATAATTTCAAAATTTTGAACATCTTGAAAAAGAAACAAGTAATAATAGTTTTATGCTATGTTTAATACAATCAAAATAACTGCTCTGGTAGTTCTAATGTTAAGAAATCCCTCTCTGACCTATTACTACTTACCTCATATCATTTGTAACCAAAAACAAGACTTAGCCATGTATTTCCCATGAGGTTTCTCTTATTTATGCTGTGCTTTATCAAAATTCTTCAATTTTGACCTAATTTTTAACTGATCTTGAGGCACAATCAAAAGCATTAAGACTGCCTTGAGAAGATATCCGGTATCAGTAAGATCATGTTCAGGACGTCTGTTTTATGTAGAGTGTCCAAAGTCATGCCTTGTGATGTTTTGCTTTTTGTGGCTGGTTTCTTGTGGTTGCCAGTGACCTTTCAATACCCTTAATTTCTTACAATACACAGTGACTTTCATGACTGGTGGTTAAATACCTTGCAAGAATTGTATAAACCCTGAATGTTTGTTTCTTACTGTGTTTTTTTTGTTGCTGTATATCACTTTTCTCTAACCTTCAGTTCAGATCATAAAACTATAGCTGTTAGAAAGGCAATGATGGCTCACTCAGAAAGCTGGTATTAGCTTCAATCAAAGCTTTATACTAGGGCTGTACCGGTGGCCACATTTTGCCTGTGGGCCAATGGCTGATTTTTTCCTCATAACCATTGGCCAGTGCCAGTGTCAATTGTGGCCTGTGGAAGAAATAGCCTATAAATTCAAATTGGCCTAATTGGAAGCCATGTGATACCTATCAGTAGGCCTCCATGAAACAATTGAGACCACTTTTGGTCCTGTCCAACCTTTCTGTCTCTCCATGAGGCTGTCAGTGGTTAGCTTGTTATCCATTGATGCTGTTTAGTGCATTTAGTGACACTTCCCTTTCCAAAAGCATAACCTAAGTGGAAAAGCAATCACTTCCCATCTTTACTGTTCCTTTCCTCTGCTGGTTCATATATAATCCGGCTGTAATACAGGGTGTTCCATGAGTCAGTTTAACTAGGGTTTTCAGCTAAACTAAATTCATATTATCCCTGTCTCAGTTAGGAAAAACCTTCTTTTGTGGCTGAGAGCTGGGGGTTGGGATAGGAGGGAAAAAAAGAAGGTTTTTCTTAACCTGAGACAGGGATAACTTCATTATTAATTTAAATGTCAGGAATAAATTTTGAAGCATGCATCTTCCTTCACCAACAATGAAAATATAAATTTAAAAAAATAATGACAATTAATAAAAACTGTATCATGCAACAATAATTAAATTAAAGTGAGAATAGCTGAAAATCCCTAGGTAAACTAATTTATGGGACACCCTGTATTATCCAATAAATATTTGTGTTTCTGGGAGAGGCTGGCAGGAGTGGGTTTCAGTGAGACAGAAGGGCCGGTGCCTAGCGACATTCACACCTATTTGCTTTGCCCATCCTTTGAGCACCAGCACCCTAGGCTGATAGTGCCGATACTGGTGCTGGCTGGTACATCGGTACAGCCCTACTTTATACCTTACTGCCTTTGGTTGTTTACTGTGGAATGAATACTTTTCTTCTGCAATTATATATTTTTGTGATACTGGCACCACAGCATATTTTGGAGAACTTTCCACCTATATATTAAAGGTACTTTTACTTGTGCTGCTATGAAACTGCCTTTACAGTACTGTAAAGACAGCACCCTGTTTAGAATGCATTCTAAACAGTTGCTTTTTTTAAAGATAAATAGAGCGAGACCATGTTTCTTCAATCATCAAATTCATTGACATGAATATGTCAATGTGAAGTGTCTGGTGACAGTGCATGAGGAAAAGCCAGGATCTGAGTAAACTTGCTTCTCAAGGATTGCAGGACCATCTACTTTTCTATGCCTCGTGTCTCCTAGGTCAATTCTTGAGTTCTGAAGTCATGTTACTTTGCGTTTGAGGGAATGAACTCCTACAATTTCAACTTTCCCATGCATGAAGGCTTTGGACTTCTTAAGAAGTAGATTGATAATAATTCTCATATTGTAACATAGACCGCAGGGACTGATCATAGCTTTTCTTGCTGCCTTGCCAGGGAATGCTAAGCCATAAAATATAGAACTAAAAGGCTATTTTTTATGCAAAAGCGCTGGTGTAATCTAAATAAGGTGCCATGAGACTTATCATGACCCATGATGAATTGTGGAGAATTGCCATATCCTTGTGATATGCATAAGTTGATGTGCTTATTTTAGGCCTTGCAAGGAAGAAGCTGGATTATGTAGCTTTCCATCAGCCAATGTAACCTTGGCACAACGTTTCAAGGATCACCTCTTGATGAGAGGACAGCAGTACCATGTACTCCTTGATCTTGACATGCCTGAATCACCCATGAATCAACAGCTTGGTGAGTGTTCCATGCCTTCCTTTGGGAGCCCATTCACAAGACAAATCCATTGAGCAGCTTCACTTACCAGTAAAGCACTTCTTGTGTTTCTTTATTTTCCTCCAAATCCTGACATTGAAAGATTAATATTAATATTTAGGCCAGGAAAAATGCATGCAGAATTGTTTATGATGATGTACACATTTTGGAGGAATGAATCCTCCTGAAGAAAAAGAGAAAATGTCACAATGAGCAAATAATATTAAGTCTATAAAAGGACTGTTTCAAGTGTAGAAGTAGGAGTTCTCACATTTGCATCATAATTTACTGCCACAATCTGCTTGATCCTAATGATTGCCTGTAGTATTTATTATTTTTATTTTTATCTTCACAAATGCCAGAAATATCCTTTACCCACATACACACACTGGCCAAAATAATAGAAACCCCCAGCCATGTACAGGATGTCCCAATTAACATTCTTGGATTTTAATGTTTCTTAATGTTTGGACTGAATATCTGCCTTCTATATGCAATCTTATTAATTGCTTCTTACCAGCCATCATTCCAATGAACCTTACACATTTTCAAGGGCTAGGCTGTAGATGCATGATGCAAAATATTTGTTTGCAGGCATGTTCATGGTGAAGATAGACCTGAAGGATTATGATGGGAATGTGAGAAAGAGTGGGACACGAGCAGCGATGCTGCGTTATCGCTCATTCCTTCATCAGTTAGTTTACACTCTGGCATTTGCTCCAGTGCTGCTCACCGGAACTTTTGAAGAAAAGCAACTTGTCACCGTGGAGCTTCTCAGTCTCTTTGAGGATGATCCTGTGAGTCTTACACATGCATTTTGTGGTGACCCACATGTTTTGTCACTTCAGGTATCATGGTAAAGGGTATTTTTTAGGAAGTAGGTTTCCTCTTAAAGACTCTAATGTCTAAAGGCTCTAATCTTAAAGATTCTAATGTGAATTCAGAATTTTATTATCATAGACAAGAAGTGAGTGGCAACATAAGGTGGAATACTATAAAGGCCATGCAAGTAAATGCTAGTTTGTACAATCACTAAGATGGCTGCCTGAACAACAGTTGGATGTAGAGGCCACAGGTTTCCCCAGTGCATTATCTTCATTCTGCTTCACCAGAATATGTCCATAAAATGCAACTTGTATCACTTGGATATGATTTTAAAAGTTATAAACATTGGGTTCAGTTTATTATAAATAAAATTCAGCCTTCTCTTGTCAATTTCTGGGGCCTCATAGAGTTGTGTTCACTTGTGGTCCTCAAGATAAGTTCAGTACATTGCTAGGTGGATTAGCCAAGGTGAGAATCATGTGTTGTCTAAACAAGGATGATCAAGTGAAAGGCTTTACAGAGACTTATTTTCAACTAAAGTGGGTCTTAATCTAGAATTGTGCATCCTCTTAACCCATTGACTTGGACCTACAGAACTCTTGGCATGCTGCAACTAACTTTAGACATACTGAACTATTTCATAGGCAATCTTGAGTGTTTAACATTTCACGTAGATCATAATTTTCTGCCAAATGCAATCCATGATTCTTTGAATTTCACAGAAAATTTTATGAATGCTGTCCAAATGTACTTTTTTTGTGTACATGAATGTAGGAACTTATACCTAAGCCCATGAGTTAAGGATATAAGAGTAACTTTTTTCCCAAGTCTGTGTCCTTAGCTATTGATGGGATTAGTCTGAAGCTGTACATGTGCCTTAAAACCACTTACAATAGGTTCATCCTATTTGCCAGAGGATGTACGTAAGGAATACAGTATTGTGGGATGGGCTCTTCTATTTAGCAACTAGTAATTATGAGTCTCAAACTTCATAATGATGTAGTATGTCTAGCCAATATGATTTTGCATGCTCTACTAAAAAATAATTTAATAGCTGCAAGGCTCTCTCCTTGACTCAGGCGAGTTTTGCAGCCATGCTTAGTCTTGATGCTAGGCTATCAATATAGGCAAGATTCAATGCTTTGACACTTGCAGTGTTGTTGGCGCTGTTGAGCCTAGGACAAATTTACACCTGAGCTGACAGATTGGCATTTGGTTTTTCAATTCATCAATTTTACTTTCTTTGCTTACACATGAATTTTTTTTGGCTGAGTAGTGATGAGATGTGCTTTCATCCCTATGACCTGGTTTACCTTTTCTTTATCTGGAGATGAGGTGAATGGAGTTCATTCTCATTATAGGGGATTGTGGAATATTGGTATTTACATCATAATGCAGTATTTTGATTCTTCAAGAATATATCTTTGATGGCTGATCAGCTGCAGCTCAGATCTTTCATTATATCTGGCTTCATGGATTTTTAGCCCCTTGAGTGCTTGTGACAACTACAACTTGTCCATGCAAAGCTAACAGTCTGTATTATTAATCAGGTGTACTCTTTCATGAGCTTAGTTGCAGGTTAGTTAGTGGCAGGAGTAAGGCTGCCTCGTCAGAGATTGCCATGATGAATAGTAGTTGCTATGGCACTTACTTGATAGCTTCATTTGCAATTGAAAGCCAATGCTTTGATGCTTTTCAGGAAAAAATGTAACATTGTGGGAGTAGCACCTTGGGGGAAATACAGGTTGTCCCAGAGAGGTTCCCATTTTTATTTTTTGAATACACCAAACATGCACAAAATTTCAATTGAAACTCATATGGAACAGGAAGAGTAATCTTTGAAGTTTTGTTTAATACTCAACATGTACACCTTCCCTTTCAATACACTTCTGAAGACGTTGAACAAAGTTGTCCACAGCTTATGCACAGATGACAGGTTATATGCTCTGAGCAGCAATAGTGATGCGATCCTGTAGGTCATCCAAGGACTGTGGGGGCATGGTAAAGACTCTGTCTTTCATGAAACCCCCCCCCCCAAAAAAAAAAAGTGAATGTGTTTGATGGTTTTGTGTTTTGGAGGGTGTCTCTGAAAGTTCTATAGTTATTCTCTCTGTACAATCACCACACTTTCATGAACTTCCATCCAAACTGTTACCTTGTGCCTTTCCTCCAAAGTCAGGTGCCCTGACATGGTTCACTCTGACAAAAAATGTGTCATCAATGAGGATTTATTAAAGTGGACAAGTGGTATATCAGATCAAACTTTAAAGACCACTCTTCCTATCCCATATGGGTTTCAACCAAAATCTTGTGAATGGTTGGTGAATTCAAGGAATAAAAATGGACACCTCCTTCTGGGACACCCTGTATAACATTTAACCCTTTCGATGGTGTCCCAAATTGTTATCCCACAGGCAAGTACACAGGTGCATGACAAGTATGTACTCAGGATGATGTTGAAAGGGTTAAGAGACTTTTGGGTCTTCTAAGGAGAGTCTTCCTGTTGTGCAATTTGATGGCTTCATCTGAAAAATTAGCCTAGAGAGCAAAAAAAAAAAATTGGGGGCCAGGTATCTTATAGTTTTTCAAAAAAAAAAAAAGAAAGCAGGTTAGGTGAATTTATTATTGATTGATATTTTATATCTTGAGAATAGCTCTGATGGAATGCCAAGCTCTGATGGAATTTTTCATGTACTTTGTCCTACCTGTGCACAGTTATTTATTTTTGCATAGCCAGAATAAACATAGAAAAATACTTGCATTTATGCACCCTGGAAAATGAAAAGCTGCAAATATTAAAAAAATGGTTTAATTTAACACTTTTGAACAGATGAAGGACCTTGGACAAGTATTAGTATGTTTCACTAGTTTCTGCTCTTGTGTAAATGCATATGAATTGCCTTCAATGTCTACAGTGATTAGATATGTGAGAGGATAAATATCACATTTTTCTGTAATTTTTTTCAGAATGACCCAGTGACACATGCCATCATTGAAGTACAAAGTCGCCATGTTCAAATCTATGGAGCTCAGCTGCGAGTTCATGCTCATTTCACAGGCCTCAGATACCTCATGTTCCATTTTCCGGTGTTATCAGCCGTGATTGGAATTGCAACAAACCTCTTCTTCCTCATCTTGGTGGCTAGCTTCTCCTGGTATCACTGGGTCTTCCTCCCCTACCATGAAAATGTGGTCAGGGTGGGTTTTGATGATGCCACGTACAAGAGCCTCGAGGCAAGACGAGCAGAACTCAAGGAGAGGATGGAGAAGCAAAGTGAGTCCCCCCTGAGAAGACTCATAGCCTTGTAGATTCACTGTCTGCACTGTTGATATGCTATAATAATCTGTCTTAGTATAACTTTTGGATGCAGTCCAAGCTAAAGTTTTTGAAATTATTGAAGCCACAATGATGTGGGCCTAGGTATACAGCCATGATTGCCAAGTGATCGTAAGAAAGATGTTCATGCACCTTTCTTAACCCCTTCAATCCATTTTTAAATGGCACTCCACATCCGTGATGTAGCTGTTCGGCATTCCACTATGGCCACGAGTCAGGCTTGTTGTTAGGTCCCAATGGATTAACATGTTGACTGCTGGGGATTTATATGCCCAGCCAACCTCTCGTTGGTGAGCACAACAGTGGAGGTTCATCATGTTGAACACTTCATATGGTATGGAAATTAGTGAATGTGTTAAAATCACTTGGCAATGTCTTTACTGCCTATACAGGATATATAATGCCTATACAGGGTGAGGCAGAAAAAAGGTAACTGAAACTGAATTCAGTGATCAAAACATGTTTTATCATATTTTAATATATTACACACTACAGCATATTGCAAGTTCAGTTATCTTTATTTTCACCTTGGTCCACAATCACATGTTCAATATGCCCACTACCATGCTGAAAGCACATTTCCATGCATTAGATCATTTAGGTGTATGTAATATTGCACAAATAGAAAGTACATTTTCAGTTACCTTTTTTCTTCCCCCCTTCTATCTCTCCACTAAAAATTACCCTCTTCTTTGGCCCAGTGGCTGCTAGTGATTGAGCCAAAGGAGAAAAGCTGCTTTGAACTCTTGGCCATGCTATTAAAAATATTGCCTCAGGTGTTAATTAGCCATAGAGCTTGAATTTCATGTCTTATTTCAATTAAATTTGTGTTCATTTTTTGTACAAGTGCACGACACGAAACTATGATCAGAACAGGACTTGATTGAACACTTCGCTACATGTATGGTTATGGTCACGAGTGAGAGTTCACATCTTTACTGGGACAGGGGTTCACAACCCTGACCTCTGCTCATCTCCCCCTTGTATCAAAATTTAGCCAAAGGCTGTTTTGTGACCTGATTACAGCCCCAGCTTCATATGGGGTCTTATCACTACCAATTACCACTGTGCTTTGTAGAGATGATTTTGATAAGAGAAGAACTCTACTATCTCTCAGTTTATAATGCATATTTAAAAAAATAGGGAAAGAAAGAAAGGATAAATTGTATAGCCTCTGAATCAGGTTCCTGACAGTGAAGGGGCACTTTGGCTCCTCCATGTTACCATTGCACAGTTTGTTGCTGGGTGCCACACAGCATAGTGACAGCGTCTACTTGACTGATCAATAATTCCATCAACACTCTGAAATCTGCTCTGTAGGAGAAATGAATCTATAGTTTTGAGACATAACTGAAGCTCCCTGAGGTCACAATTGGAAGAAGAGAGTTTATGGACTCCCTCTTCACAGCATATGATGTTGATTCTTGAGACATAAGCACTTGATCAACATAGAAAAGCTGTTGCTGATTCCTTTATATACATGGCTTTCTCTCTCATGATGTTCCCTAATCCATGTCAATTTATATCAGATAATTGATGTTAACAAAGTCCCAAGGCCTACCCTTCATTCCATTTAATCTAACCAGCTGAATTGGATCTTGGAAAATGATCAGCAGAGTCTTGCTTTGCATTAAATGTTTATCTGATAAGGATCTAGTTCTGTACACAATAAGAAGCTTCATTGGATATGTATTATGTTGTTTCTTTATTGCAAGGTTGTTCATTTCAGTTCAAAATATGTAACCAAGTTGCTGCAAATTTGCTAAGGAGGTCCATCTAGGCAAGGCAATTCTTATATCCTGAAGTCTTTTATCCATGCTATATACGTGATCTCATACCATTCTCATTATGTGTTGTACTAAAGGATTTTGGACTTCTGGTTTTATCATCTCATTAAGGCTTTCAACAATGTACTGAATTGTAAGACTTTGATCCTTCCCATTACTAGCTAGAATCAGTTTTGAGAACTTCATTACTCCTACATTTATGCTCCTCCAATGTCTGTAAAGGCCCAGAATACCCAAAAGTATCATATTCAAGCAAAGTAAGTCTAGTTTTTATACTGTCAAACAGAAGTTTTATTTGTCGGAGATGGTATACTTTTCATGATCTAGTTTTAGACTTTAACCCTTTGACTGGCAAGTTTTGCAGATGCCTGTTATATGGGAGCCTGTAAAATATATGGGTATGCCAGTCAAAGGGTTAAACTTAATTTGACCTTTCCATTTTCAAAAACATGAAGAACCATGAGACCTAGCATGTCACCTATTATTCTGTGCAGTACTATCTGAATTTGTGTGATTGCTGATGAGCATCAGATAGGGATTCAGATTTCAGTTCTAAAGTTGTGTACATGCGCTGAGAAAGGTGTTGTTATTGGTGTTGATGCAGAGCACATGAAGGTTGACTCAAGGTTGAGATCAAGGAGCCTGAGCTATGATTCCCTGCCAGTGATTGAGGAGTATGATACAGGAAAGGAGAGACACAAAATTGAGAATCTCTCCTCCTTGCCCTCATCCAATGAAAGTCTCCATCAACCCCGAAAAATCACTCGAGTGTCCACCAAAGAAGCCCTTTCCATCTTGAAGGATTCCTCCCCTGGTACCCCTTCTTTTGGTGCGTTTTACTTTCCACAGTATTGCTCTTCTCCTTATGAGTATGCATTCTAATAGTAAAATATTTTCAGCTTTTCATGTTTGTTGAGAATGAGCTGAGAATGAGTTGATAATGAGTCATAGAGCAAATTCTTGAAGAACTTTAAGAGTACAGTACATTTGCAGCTTATGAAGGTGTATAATACACTGAAATGAATTTCTGAGTTTTGGAATTTATGTGCAAATGGATCATTGCTGTCAAGGGAGTGAAGAGGAAAGAGAAGGGGGAAGAAGCAGGGAAGACGAGAGAGAAGAAGAGAGAGGTAGGGAGGAGTGGAAGTGGACACTGGGTGAATCAATAGAGGAGGATGAAGAGCATTCTTCATCACCAATCAGGAGATGTCTTCAGAGCCAGGAATCCACATGATCCTACATCATCATCCTCTGTTGGCCATCTCCAAGCCGGGGAGTCTCATTGCTTCGTGCTTTCATTTCATGCCTTTGCCTATAGAAGTGCCAACTTGTATATTTTGTATGCCTAAGCCATTGTGCCATACATGTGAGACTCATGTTTCCTGCATGATTTTCCAAAAAATGTATGTAAGAATAATTTCTTGAGGATGAACATTTCTCAACTCTTTTCTTTCCTTGATTTCTCAAGACAGTGAATGATTTATTTCTGCTATTCCAACAGTACAATAAGATCTGGTCAGTTGATCTACCCAAGCTGCAGTCAGGGGACTCCAAATTAGTCAGAATTTTCCTGTGACTCTAACTTGCCCTAAAACTCCCCTACTCCAGAGCAGTTTGAAGTGCTAGAGTGGATCCCACTCCAAAAATTTGTCCATTTACCATCTGGTGTTCCAGACTAAGCCAGAGTCATCTGCCTCTCCTGAACAGGAACCATGCTTGCTCCTGTAGCCTGGTCAGAGTTTAGTTGTTATGTAGGGTTTTGCCTAAACATGGCTCCTGTTTAGGATAATCCTAACATTGAAGTGCTTGGAATGTTTGGACTTGGTTCTTGACTTGTGAAAAGTCTTTGGACTCATAACGCCATTCAAAATTTTGTAAGTCTATTAGGGATACGTCTTTCATTAGGCCAAATTTCACTTAGAGTCTGAAGTGTAGACCACAGGACTTTAAAGTGACATTTGAGACTTCATTATGTGTATTGTATTGAGTCTCAAAGTGCATTGTCTGTTCATTGCCAGGAATGTGAGACATTAAGAAAATGATATCTGGGAGTAATATAGATATGAAATCTAGTTGAGGATTAAAAGGCTAGTAGGTGGTAACAAGTCCTCAAGCCATGGTTTTATTCCTTTCACATCTTTTACACATTTGTCCAGCCAACCTTTCGGTTGCCCAATGATCATTTTCTTACAACAGTTATTACTTATAGTCATTAGATTGAAGTAGTGTTTATAGCACCTCAATTTGTTTATAACTATCATGAAGGATTGACAGCATCAAGTTTTGCTTGTGGCATGAAAATGGAGAAGCAGTTCCTTTTATGTTTTCATTTGTCTTGAAATAGAGGATCCCAAGAAATGTGCATTGCATTGGTGAAGCTTAGGAATTCTTACTATGTGATCTCTATACTTTTTCTTTTGATTCCCTCTGTGCCTCCATCATGACTTCACTTCAAATTCCTGTGGAATGCACTTTCATAGACTTTTGATTGATGGGAGATTGTATAGAGTGCCTGAGGAATATGGAATGTATTCCATTGTGCTGTGATGAGGCCTTTTGAAGAAGGGTAGTCCAGTGATGTGTTCTAGTGCTGCATCTGCTGTGTACAATGTATATTCTTACCAGGGCTTCGAAGCAAATGAAATTGGTTTAGTTCTAGTTACATTTATTTCCTAGTCATTTCATTCCACTTCATGGTTCTCAGCTTGAGGTTTTTCCAGTTTCATTTACTGGCTGTAACTGCTCTCTGTATTGGAAACTGAAGTGAATAAATGCCTTTCCTGGAACCCACAACCTGGCTTGTTAAAAGAAAAGAAACAAAAAAGGAAAATTGGCAAAAATCATTGCCACAGATAGGAGTGGAACACCACCTTTGCTGGCTTTATAAGCATTGATATTGAACTAAATAAAAAAATTGCTGTGATGCCAACTTTGGCACTTTGTGAATAGGATTACTAATTTTGGAGAAAGTTGTGCTTTGAATTTTTTTTAGATAAAGCTTTTTTCTAAGAATAAAAATTATTGGAAAAACTGTTCTTAAATTCTGTGTTAAAATCTGTTTTGAATCTGTATTATAATGAAAAAGCTGGCAAATGTATGATAATTACTCTGCTGTATTAGGGTTAGTTATTTTGCTTGTCCACCTTTACATCAGATCTAGCTTTGTATCTGCCTCAATTTTTCCCCTTTTTTTTTGGCCTTTGGTTTCATTATGATTCGAAGCCCTGGTTGTCAATTTCCATCCCTGTATACCAAGCACTGCTAGGCTTATTACATATAGCAGGAAGAAATCAGGTTCCTCTTGAATAGACTTGAACTTAGTGCCATTAATCAATCGTATGCTTGTTATCTAGGATGGGCTGTTACCTGCAGTTTGTAAATTAACTAATGTTAGGTTTTTCATGGTTTGGTTCAAGTCAACACTTTGTTGACTATCTTTCAGGAGTATGTTTGCAATTGAGCATCAGGGTCAGGTTTGCAATAATGTCATGGACTAATTGTTAGCTGTTTAATAATTCTATTAGGATCATGTCAGCATTCACTTTGCTGCTGTAATATTTCCAACTTTTTTTTGTCAGCAGTATGGTCATTAAGGTATTTCCTGTGCACATATATCTCTACCCCTCCTAGTAATGACCTGATGAAGTAGTTTCCTCTCAAAATGGATCTAATATCTCAATTGGTTAATATTGTGTTTAAGGTGCAACAAAGCTCTTTTGCAATTTTGAGTTAGATAAATTTTCATTAATGTAAAAGCTCTGCAAAGAAGTCTGAGTCTGACAAAGTCTAAAGAGAACCCAAACAAATTAAACTATGAAATAATAACCAATATGAGTCAAATCGAAGCAAGAATAGGTTGAGCAGTCCACTATGCAAGTATTTTCCAGTGTTTAGATCCAGACTGAAGTGTTGGACTGCAAAGGTATCAGCATCCATCTTGGCTTTGAATTTCCAACTAGGATCAATTAAAATGTTTAGTGCTATGGAAATGCTTCTACTCTTTCTTTACATGGAGAATAGAAGGTTGCCTGGGGCTATGAGCATTCAACTTGGTTGTACTGAAACAAGGGTGTATACATACATGTGCAGCCCAAAGTTATGATGCAGACTTGGAATTTCCCACATTATTTCATTTTTTTAATGGTCCATGTACTTTTTTCATGGTACATGTTTCACTAGTGCTTACTTTGGCCAATAGAGACCAGCTGCTCTTAGGATGAAAAATGCCCAGACATGAAGTATAAAGCACCAGCATCTTTTCTGAGAATTTTTAGAAATTTCAGCTTTTTATATGTAATGGTTTCAACTGTAACCTAGTCTTACTACAGGACCATGTAGGAAGCTATTTATGTTCAAGTATGAACTAGTTCAAAGATAACCTTGAGGCATAAACATCCAAACCAAAATTGCTTCAGTTATGCATATTCCCAGGGAAAGTTAATGCTGCAGGACTTTCCCTGTCCTTTTCATTGCTTTATGGAGGAAATCCAAATTTACTCTCCCCATGTAATGCACAGTGACTTCTCTCTATGTGCATACATTTTTTATGCAAAACATGGGGCTTTCTTTTCCAGAGTATGAATTGGAAAGAGACTGGGATGGAGATTCCTTTGTTTTAACTGCTGCAAAGCAATTTACCTACTGCTTCAGAATTGTGTTAAATCCTGCACTTCACAACTTTAGATGATCCTTGCATTATGATAATTTACTGCAGCTTTATGTAATGTATCAAACACCAATTGATAGGAAATTGAAGAGACTTTCCAGGAGTCCTAGTTTTTAATTCCCCTCTATGAAACATGAGGGAAATAATGAAAGTAGGAAATGCTCTAGAAGCTCTTATCTAACTGTGGAAATGTAAAGGGTGCCCTATAAGTCTGAAACCATAGGCACACATTTACAAATACAGGGTGGTCCAAAAGTATCCATACATAGGGAAAATTAACACTTTTTAAAAAAGTGTAACTTTAACATAATGCATAACACCAGATGTATTAACGCGAGTTCACCATGAATGGGAGAGTCACATCCGTATGTGTTTTTGAAGTAATGGCAACCATGTAGAGCATATTTTGTGAATAAAGTTACATTTTGTTAAAAAGTGTTAATTTTCCCTATGTATGGAGACTTTTGGACCACCCTGTATATTTATATTATCATACAAATGTTCCATTTGTGTGGTACTTGGCAGTAACTAATGATTCTCCAGGTACACTGGCTCATCCTCTACTAGCTCATCCTTAGATAGTGCCATTTCTTCAACTTAGATCGTCTGAAATATTAAAAAAATACTCTACTTATGGTTCCAGACATTTGTGACACCCTGTAGTTATGATATCCCACAAAAACAACTACTTGGACCAATGGCTGATTATGGCAATTTGATCTGCATCATATTTGTGCATCCTACTTTTGTTCAAAGAAATATAAGTGGTTTTAATGTGCACATGTACCCTGCACTGGCTAATCTGCAAGCACTGAGGACAGTATCATGAAGGGGATGTGTCAGATGCCTTGTTTTTGTGAGATGCCTCTCCACAACCTTTTTGAAAAATACCAGGCAGTTGTGATTCAAAAAGTTGTTTACCCTGATTTTCACCCCAGTATGAGCTAACTAACTTCATTGTGCCTCTCTTTTGTAGCACAAGAGGTATTTGCCAGCTGAAGAGTTTTATTCCCAAAATTGTGACATGCTTTACTTGGTTCCCTTTGTTTCTTGGCAGTGTCAGATTTGGAAAAATTTCGCTGGTTTATAGTAATCACTTGGAGAAGAGGCAAAGGGTGGTTTCATGGAACAACTTTCATGCACAAATATGTACACTATGCAGGGGTCAAAGCATCACGTATCACATAGCCTCTGTGTTTGGTTGGAATGCAGACAACTGTTGGGCTAATGCAATAGAGCTTCTAATTTCATGTACAACATTTGAAGTTTTGACACTGTCCTTGTTTCTCATCAATTAAAAGAGTAACAAGGACCATGTTAACAAAAAAATTGGCATGAAAATATCTGGATTTTAGTTCTCCTTTGTCATTTTCAGATAATGATATTCTGGCTTCTACCTGGTGATTCCAATTACAGTTCTGGTCTTT